AAAAATTGCAATTCTATAAGTGATTGAGGGAGATTGTGGATTGTGCTTGTGTGCTTGTTTTACAGAACGACTGTATATATGTGTGTACAGACTACAGAGAGCGTGCGTGTGATGTGTGATTGAGGCAAATGTGAAATGTATATGAGGTTGATGACAGAGGGCAGAAAGAAAAAATAATATAATAATAATAATAATAATAACAAATAACTTATTCATTTAATTAATCTGTGAAAGTGAAATTGAATAATAAAATAATTTGAACCTATAAAACACTATTATTACAAAAGACGGGAAAATGTAAATGTGATCTTGAAAGTTTGTTGAAGATTTGTATGGGCGTGCGCAACTTGCCCCTATTTTTTTTTTTTTTTTTAAGATTTTGCAAAGATTTATAATTTATTATAATTATTTCAATGGCGTATATTATCATTATACATGAAATTACTAGTACAACACCCCGTGTACAGAAGCAGACTCATAGGGGCCCGCAGGAACAAATACCCCTATTATGCGACAACTTCTAATATATAATCAAATGAGACGTGTCTATTACAAAGAACACATACTCTACTCTCAGGCAAAAATGGATTCGCATCATTTATCTTATTATTTATTTTATTATTAATAATAATATTATTATATTTTTGCTACATAAATAGTCTGGCCGCCAAGTCCGCCTAGGAGCGCCTAGGGCTGCTTAGGCGTCGTCTACCCGCCTACTCGATTTTTTCTGCCGATTTGTGCAAATTGGAGGCGGCCACCTAGGCCGATTTTTAGAACCATGGAATTACATTGTGGTCCCCTACTTTTAAATGTCTGCGTCCGCCCCTGCCCGTGTATTACACGGGTGCATGCTAATTTTTTTTCTTAAAATTTAAAATTAATGAGAAAATGTGGTTGAAAATTTTAAATATTTTTTATAAGAAAATATATATTATTATATATTTTAGTATGACACTTGTTACATATGCGACTTACATGTGTTATATTATAATAATTTTTCTAATTTATAACATATAACTACATTAAACATTAATATATTAATTGAGAAATAATTTTTTTTTCAATTTAATTTTAATAAATAAATTTAGTATTATTATAAAGATAAATATAATTTATTTATTTTATATATACAATATGGATGTCAAATTGAAGCTAATCAAAAGATGACTAATTTGATATATCCCCCCTCCCCCCTATATATTAATTCAGAACGCGCTGAGCCTACGTGGCTGCTTCTGGTGCTTCGGAATCCTATGTGGCAAAATTACATGCTTCGTTATTACCATAAATATGTTGATTATCATAAATATGTTCGGATTACCATAAATATGTTGATTATTTATGGTCATGTTACATGTATTAATTGCATTTTAATATCATTCCTTATTATAATTATTGAATTGTATGTATATTTTAAAAGTTAATAACTTTTGTATTTTTTATCAGTTTTACATATGTAATATATCAAATTAATATTCTTTTGATGAGTTTCGATTTAACATCCATATTGTATGTATAAAAAAAAATAATTTATATTTCTCTTTATAACAATAATAAAATTATTTTTAATATTAATTAGAAAAATAAAATTATTTATCAACTAATATATTTATATTTCAAGTAGTTATATGATATAAGTTATAAAAACTAATATAATATAACACATGTAAGTCATAAGTAACACAAATCATTCTAAAATTTAATATAGTAAACTAAATTTAATTTAGTTTTCTCATTAATTTTAAAATTTAAGAATAATTTTTTAACAAGCACCCGTATAATACACGGGTGTTGTACTAGTTATATATGTAAAACCGATAAGAACTACAAATTTTAAAATTTAAGAATAATTTTTTAACAAGCACCCGTATAATACACGGGTGTTGTACTAGTTATATATGTAAAACCGATAAGAACTACAAAAGTTATCAGCTTTCAAAATACATTTACAATTAACTGGTTATAATAGGAATGATATTTACAATTAATATATCTAAAATGATCATAAATAAATTAACATATTTATGGTAATCCGGACCTAATTATTTTTTGGTTGAAATTAAATTAAAATATATCTAAGCCAAATAATGAAGCATGATAGTTTGACACCTAGGATCTCGAATCATGCGAGTCTGCCACTTAATTTCATCACATTCTGGAATTATATATAGGGGGTTTTTTATCAGAGTTTCATTTTCCTAATCATTATGCATGAATTAAAAAAAATAAAAAAAAAAAAATCAACATGTCACGTTTGATGATTCTTAAAGATACTATTGACATTAAATTTAGTTCCTTGATATTACATTTCTTAAATTGATGTATTTGAATATTGTCTTATGGAGAAGAATATGAATTATAAATTTGCTACTGAAAATAGGAGTACTAGAATTTGATTTTTTGGTTCCTAGTCTCGAGCCCTCTGGCATATTCTTGGTGCTTTCCTTATTTTCTCCGGCCCCGAAGGTCTTCAGGGTCCAGATGTTGTTTTGGGTTTGGAGTCTAGTCTTGCTGCTTATTTGGGGTTCTTGGTTACGGGTATGACTCGGTTGTCAGTTTAGGTGGTCGTGTAGTTCATCTGTTAGGTTTAGGGGATGTTTTAATTTATTTCGTATTAGGTGTGTGTTGTTTTTAGCCTTCTTTTGTTTTTGTTTTGTTTCGTTAAGTCCAACAACATCTGACATTTAGTCTATTTCTTGGAGTTTTAGTCTCCTTTATGGAGTTTTTTTTTTTTTTTTTTTTTTTTTTTTTT